TAATTAGTTTCCCCTTCATTGTGACAATTAGGACAAGGCCATGATAAATCTAAAATTCCCCTTCAAATTGATTTATTACGTTTGACTAAGTTGAGACATGTCCACAAGTCGGTCTGTATCGCACTAAAAAAGTGTTTTTCACTTGAGGTAATAAAACAAACAATGAAAATACTCTAATCGTATCATCATTTTCATGTACCTCTATGTTAGTACCGGTTTTAGTCTTTTAATAATTTATAAGACAATATGAATAATGTAGAGACATAAAATAAAAGAACACAAGAGAAATGATATTGCGGTTCGGTAACACCCTACTCCGCGGGGTCACGCCCAGATGATGAACAATCCACTAAGAACTCTTTTACAATTCAATTGGACTTAATCTACCCGAGACTCCCTCTCTAAGAAGACGCCTATGAATTTACAATTTCCCAATGTACTTAAACAACGAGATCCCCTCGACTTTTTAACATTGGAATCCCTCCAACAAAGTTTTTCTCCCGAAAAACACTCAAATCATCTCACTCAATACAAGTGCTCACCCATGTCTCACAACCCAATAAAAACTCATCAAGAGGCGTACCAAGACTTAAGGAACACTTTTAATAAATAAGCAAGATGTGAATAGCTTGACACATCTTTAATTAATTCGCTGAACCACATCTGTTGCAGATCCTGTTGCAACAACACTGCAACATAGCTGTTACGGCCAACTTTCTCAAAACCAGACGAATCAATCTTCTTTAATTCTGAAATCTTCCCAAAACTGATAAATGAACCTGGACACGTTCTTAGGCAATATAGGAAGATCATCCAGCTATGAAATCTCAATCAATAATCAATCAAATCAATTTTCCATCTTTGAATCAATGGTTGACTTAGAAAAATAGAAACTAAAACAAGTTTCTGGATTTTTTGAAACTTGCCAAAAGAAACTTGCCAGCTACATAGATATTTCCAAATGCAATCATCCCAGCAAAACATTCCCAAAATAATACCAATCAAATCCGATTACAATCAATACACAAATTGGGAAACAAATCCCAACACTCTACTTCAAACAAAAAGAAAACCCCATCGCCGTGTTTAGAATTAATCACATTTTTGTTTTTCACGTTTTTTGAGAAAAAAAATGAAAACATTTTTAAAACGACGTTTGGCGCAATAAAACAAAAAATGAAAATGAAAATGATTTTTTAGTTTAGTGCAAAATGAGAGAGAAATTTTCATTTTCTCATCTCTCGAGCAGAGAGAGAGAAAGAGAGACATTAATGAGTTTTTTTTTTTACATTGAAAGCAATCTCTTGATAAAATTACCAAACACATTTTTAAAAATAATTTCTGTCTGAGATTGAAAACGTTTTCATTTTCATTTTTATACAAAAAATAAAATCATTTTAAAATGAGTTCCAAACGCGTCTCATAAATTTTTTTTTTTTTTTTACCTAAATTTAGATAGATTCTTACATATCTTTTATGTAGATTTCTTTTATCGAATATGATATGCGTGCTACAATTTAAGCGACCCGATCAAACCACCATCTCTGCTGGAAGAGGAAGTTCCATCAATAAAACCAACTAACATTTTAATTAAAAAAAATAAAGAAAGATAAGAAAGTGTCAATTTGTTATTTAACTAAAATTCGCCTTAATTTTTCCTTGAAAAGGACATTTCTTCTTTTTTTAAGCGTATATAAAGTTGTTTTGCACCGTTTTACCTTTTTTCCCCTTCCCATTTGAAGGGAGAATTGAGACTTGGAGTTTGAACCCTCCAAAGGATATTTTTCTAGTTTCGGTAACAAAATAAATAATAAAAACAAGACAAGACGTTAAAGGTTTAACTTGAAAAACCAAACGAAAATAATAATTTGATAAGCACCAAAAATATTGTTTATTGTTCGCCAAAAAAAAAAAATTAATCTTATTCAGTATTATGCCACTTGAATTGCTTTGGTCATTTTGTGACATTTTCTCGTAACGTGTCAAGCGCACCAACGGGCAACTAACAAACATTAGCCCCTACATCAACGCAATTGAATTACTCAACTCAACTTTCCACAACTCCATAGTCCATCCATGACTCGGCCATAGTGGGGGCATTTTTCATTTGGCTTTTTGGCACATTTATCCCTCGAATTTGTGTGATTTTGTAAATTACCTCTTAAACTTTTAATTTTAATAGGTTGTCCTTTAATTTATAAATTTATTATAATGTATTTCATTTTGACGACGATTGTGTTAAATTAGTGTCAAAAAACGCGTTCAACTAAAAATTTCAACATTCCAATTCAAATGTAACACAAATTTTTCAATATCTCAACTTTTAATCCCTTAAATCTAAAAAAAAAATTGAACAAATTTAGTTAAATGTGGCACATTGCAACAAATTTATAAGTTTCGAGAGCAACGTGTAAAAATTAAAAATTTAAGGGGCAATTTACTAAACCACGATAAATTCGGGGACAATTGTGCCAAAAAAATTTTCATTTCACCGAGTTTTTAATTCCAGTTTTACTACAATTAAAAACTCTTATAAAAAATCACATATAATTTTTTCTGTTACAGGTAAAAATTCTCAAATAAAATTACATCTCAACTTGAATTGAAAACTCGAATCAACAAACTGAAAGCCTAACTCAGTCTCTTTTTTTTTTCTCTCTTCTTAATTTTAACCTATTATTTTACTTATTTTTTAAATGTGCTCTTATCAAAATACTTTTTTTTTTAATGAAATGTGATCCCTCTTTTTTTTTTAACCCTATCCTACTAATACTCAAGTTATTTAACTTGTTTTCTTAATCTCCTAACCAGCCACTATTTTTTTTTAATAGTTGGTTGAATAATCTTAACTATTACTTGATCTCTTTTTTGGATTAATCCCACAAATAGTCCTTAAAATTTACTTCTAATCCCACTTTAGAACTTGAATTTTAAAACAAGGTTTTATTTTGTTTCAGTCTTAGTCTTTTTGTTAGTAATGTGTTAAATATTTGACGGAATATGTGTAAATTAAGAACAAAAATTGAAAACATATGAACTTTAGGGACTAAAATAACACAAAAAAATAAAAGTTAATTTACACATATATTCCTTAAATTTTAGTTGTTTTCAATTTTCATCCCTAAGCACACGGATTCTATCAAATATTTAATAGCTAATTGGCGGAAGAACCAAAACTGAAGCAAAGTAGAACTTCAAGAATCAACTGTGTGACGTTTTAAAAGTCATGGACTAAATTAGGATTGAAGATAAACCTCAAAGACTTTTATGAGGTTAACTTTTTTTTTTATCCACACTTTTATAAAAAGCTTTGATTGCTTTTATAGCTTTATTATGTTTTTTTCAAGGGAAAATTTCATTTCACGAAAATAGAGTTACATACTCAAATTAGTCACAAGTAAGCACCATCTAAAAAGGAATTCAACTTTGAAGATTGACTGGATCCACCAATAAAGACGAACGTAGCACAGGGGTGAAACACAAGTGCTGAGACTCAACAGGAAAAGATTTGTTTGGCACATAAAGATTGAGTGTGACCAAGACTCGTTAGACAGGACCATGATGGATTAACCCAGTCAACCATGATAAAATTCCAAATAATAGGGATACGAGTGACACAATATACAATAAAATTTAGTCAGACACCTTCACCCATATCGATAAATGGGTGAGATACACTAACAAGTTTAAAAAACGGGAAAGCCATCTCCATTATTACTAACACAAATAACAAAATAACATAAACTAACACCAATAAGATATAAATATTAACGCTTCTATTACAAAACAGTAAACACAATCAACAAAGAGGACTCAATAATAACAATCTGACCATCGCGCTACAGAGTAACGTGTCAAGCACACCAACTGGCAACTAACAAAAATTAGCCCCTAGATTAGCGCCATTGAATGACTCAGCCTAAGTTTCCACAACTTCATCTGCGACTCGGCCATAGTGGGGGCATTTTTAGTTGCTGAAAATAACTAAAACGATATTTCAATTGCCATTTGAAAAGTTACAAAGATCCACCATGTTCCCAATTCCTTTTATCCTCTTATCTCTTAGGTACTAGATACAAGATTAGTACAAAATTATTGTTTCCAAATTCAATAATGACAAACCACAATACACGTACTAGTTTTTATTCAAGAAAAAAAGTTACTCAAACAAAGATTGGTGCACCCAAATAATCATTTGAAGACTCGACAATCTCACGTGGTATCACAAGTTGAATTGTTTATGTCATCCTTCATTTTATTAGTTACAATCACAACTAAAGTTTTTTATACAACGTTTTCTCTTAAAAAATTTAAATTTAACTTTTTATGATATAATTTTTTCTCTCGCATAAATTAACTTCTCAACTCAAGTTTAAAACTCAAATCAACAAAACTAACGAGCTTTATATATTATATCTATTACATTAAGTTCCCGTTCATTTCACCGACTCGAGTTTAAAATTCAAGTTTTATTATAGTAAAAAACTATAAGAAACAGTCACATCTAACTTTTTTGTTACAGTAAAAAGCTCTTACATAAAATTACATCTCAACTCAAATTAAAAACTCGAATTAACGAACTAAACAGGCCCTAAAACTACATTGAACTCAAGATTTTATCATGCAGACTAAGCAACATTGCCAGTTATCACCCCCCAGCAGTACGCAAATTTTCTCTTAAAACGGCATGCATATATTTACAATTGGAAATAGTTAAATTCACGTCAAAATTAGATTTTTTTTTTTAAGGGTAAAGTCAAAACTGGACTTTTATGGGAAGGCGTATACTACGTAAAAGAAACGTATAAAATGAAAACCTTACATTGAATTAAATAAAGAATCAACATTTTAAGAGAATTTAATGATAGGTACCAAAAAATTCTCCTTAAAATTTTTAGCCGCAAAACACGGAAATGTAGAATAATGGGGCCACGTGGATGGGTGAACATCAAAGTTTGGGCCGGCGAGCGACGAGTCGGCCCAATAAAAAAATTTAAACGGTCATAACGTCCGGTATTTTCTTTGACTTCTTCTATTTCTCTTGTCTTCTCTCTGTTAAACCCCCTCTCCATAAAACCTCCCCCGATATCATCGTTCGCTTTCTGTCCCATCCCATCCATTCACCTTGCCTTCTTCGCTCTCTTCCCTCTTTTCTTTTGTCCTCTCTCTCATGTTCTTGTCTTCTTAGAACATTTCCCTTACGTTTTCTCTCTTTCTCTTTCACTTTCACGTTTCTTGAAAATGGATTCTTCAGAGCCCACGACTCTCTCACGCGGCAACGGACTGATTTCCGCGGAAAAGCGTGAGGAAAAATGCTTTTCCAAACGAAACGATTCGAATCCGTCCGGAAAATCAGGGGAATCCGAGAACTTTTCGTCGGAGAAATCGGACGAGATCGAAGATACTATTCGGAAGATGATTTGCGACGTGAAAGTTCTCCAGCCTCATTCGCTGCTCCCGAAGCCCGAGGCGCCACGGGGATTGAACGACGACGTTTCGGAAGACCAGCCGCAGTCGCCGTACGACATGCCGGCGATCGGGAAGTTCATCCGCGAGAGGAGCAACGGCTTCTCTGCAGCGATCGTGAAGAGATTGTCGTCGTTGAAGGAAAACCTCGACGAGCCAAAAGCGAAGGCGAAGACCAAGACCGACGTTACGGAGTTCAATCTCTCCGGTCTCAGAGTGATCGTGAAGCTCAAGAGCGAGGAAGAAGAAATACAGAAATCGGAGAAACAAGCGGCCATTAAAGGTCGGATCAGCTTCTTCTCGAGGTCCAATTGCCGTGACTGCACAGCTGTGAGGCGGTTTCTCCGAGAGAAGGGGCTGAAATTCGTGGAGATCAACATCGACGTTTATCCGCAGAGAGAGAAGGAGCTGGTGGAGAGAACGGGGAGTTCATCGGTGCCTCAGATTTTCTTCAACGAGAAACTGTTCGGAGGTCTTGTGGCGCTGAATTCGCTGAGGAACTGCGGGGGATTCGACCGGAGAGCGAGGGAGATGCTGGAGAGCAAGTGCCCCGACGACGCGCCGGCCCCACCTGTGTACGGATTCGACGACGACGATCATCCGGAGGAGGAAGAATCGACGGACGACGTGATAGGGATCGTTAGGGTTTTGAGGCAGAGATTGCCGATTCAGGACCGTCTGATGAAGATGAAGATCGTCAAGAACTGCTTCGCTGGGGGAGAGATGGTGGAGGCGATCATTCAACACTTGGACTGCGGCCGTCGGAAGGTACACGTTCTGATTCGTTTTCGGTTTTTCTTTCTTTTATTCTCTGCGTTGCGTGTACAGTAAACAGTGGACTCGCGCTTTCTTGTCCATTAATTTTGCCCCAATTTGTTTCACTAATTTATTTCAGTTTAAATAGTGAGTATAATTAAACTCTCATTTGATAAACATGCAATTTGAATTATATTATTCATTTAAACTGAGTTATTTAGAGTTTAGTTTCTCTCAAATTCAACCGTTCAAATCATTTTTAAACAATAAAAAAATATTCACTCTCTATTTTTCACACTTATCAAACACAAATTAAAATTTTATTTTTTGCTTAATTTAAAATTTTAACTAAAAATTTAATATTAATTCAAACTATAATTTAAACCACGCAGTTTAAATTTTTATGTTAAAATTATTAGGAGACTTTTAGTTTATGGATTATAATCATGTGATTAGAATCATTTTTTATTTACGTATATTTTTTATGAGAAAAAATACTGTAATAAATTATGAACTATAATTCAAATCATAATTTAAATCTTCTAACCAAACATTCCTAATTTAACCTAACAAAGTAAATAGAGACTTTGATGTTCAAACATCGTTCGGCGTAAAAGCCACGGAGACCGTTTGTTACAGTGCCCTGCGTGGCATCTAATTTTTATTATAAAAAAGAACTTGGGTCTCTCGGGTTATCTACTGTCTCTGTCAGTTAAAAAGTTGAAGTTTCGAAATTTCTAAAGCGATTTTTTTTTTAAAAGAAAAATGCATGAACTTGTTGGAAAATAACAAATTAAGTGGAGTAAATCCTAAACTTAGCAAACATTAATGATGATGACCATGCGGTTGATGATAACTAATACATCCATAAAATCTTGTTTGCAGAGCTGAATATATTATCTTTTTATTAGGAAGAGTTGAATATATTACTTAACTCATTTATAGGTGCAATAAAAAATTATATAGTTGGCATATATAGTTGCTTTGATTTGGTTAACGAATTTATCGTACTCATTCTTTTCAATAGAAAGGAAATTAAATATAAAATTGACCTTTTTAATCAATTTGCGTATATTCCTGCAATATTTTTTTCTGGACCCAATTTGGGACCTCTTTTAGTCTTCATCAGGCAATGAACAATTTTAATAATAAATAAACAATGACGGGTCTCTCATGATTTTATGAGGTCTCGTTCACTTTGTAAATTTGAGTTGAAATGTGACATTTTTTGAGAGTTTTGAACTGTAACAAAAGAAAAAAAATTAGATGTAACATTTTCGTAAAGCTTTTAACTGTAAAAATCTAGAACTGAAAACTCAAATCGGTGAAATGAACGAAACCGTTATCTATTGAAATAAATTAGTTGTATCTGGTCATGAGAACCTTTTTGAGAGATTTTCTCATACGACAGTATAAATTAAAATTTTTAATCGTTAAATTTACGTATTTTTTAATTTTTACATAATTTTATATCACGGTTAAAAAATTTGAGTATACTAACAAAAAAGTTGAAGAAAAATGATGCTAGTTTGCGCGTTATTATTAGTCAATAGGAGCTATAGTGATAGAGTTATTGGGATAATAATTGCCTTCACGAGTAGGAATGAGTGTAATTATCGTTGAGAGCCTGTTAGCACGGGGGGTCCACTCTCTTTCTATCACAACGGTCGTGCGATAACGCTCCATGTCATTCAATTTCATATTTGGAGTGGAAGAAAGGTTCATAATGAAAAAATTCATGGAAAACTAGCATTTTCGTCACCACATGTTCTTTTCACATCACATTTGTACACATGCAGACGTAATAGTGTAATATACATTTTACGCAGTATGATATAGATAGGACGTAATAAATCATGGTTAATAGAAGATCTTAAGTTTCTGCTGATTATTACAACTTTTTTTTTTATTTGTCACAGAATTTCATGCGATAATATCGTGAGTGTCCATGTGATTTATATGTAGATTGTAATTTCTATGCAGTTTAGTATGTGTTCTCTAGCTGGATGAAAATCATAATTACCTATGGCATTGTTCTTTATGTAAAGTGTCGTAGATGAAAAGCACGTTTCTGGTTTTCGTCTTTGTTTTTATTTTTCATTTTTCTGATTTATTTGGTGGGCCATATTTAGCTAATTAACCTAAGGCTTTGCATGACCCATGAGTTTACACGGTTCCTTAAAGAATGAGACAGCCCTTCCAGGTGGGGCCCATAATAATATACAAGGCAGTTAGAGTCATTATCCATCCTACCCGTCCCGTTGACAAGGAGACATGTTAAGCTTTTTGGGCTTGTTCATCCGGTCCCATATGTAATATTTTATTTTCCAGAGTCGATTTTACAAATTCGAATAAAGAGTTTAAGGTATTATTCATTTCACCGATTTGAGTTTTATTACAGTAAAACACTCTAAAAAACAGTCACATCTAACTTTTTTACTATAGTAAAAAGCTCTCATATAAAATTATATCTCAACTCGAATTATAAATTTGAATCAACAAACTAAACAGGCCTAACTTCTTTTATTTTATTATTTTTTAATTACCGCTACTCTAAATTTATGTTATCCAATTTTATTTGCTGTGCTCAGGAATAGAACATGTATTTGGAGTCTAGGGACAGTGGATTAAGCCCTAGGATATCAATTCAATTCCCTCTTCATTTAAGATAATTTATTCTGATGTAGCCGTTGACTTTGTAAGTTTGGACTTTGGAGATTATGTAAAATTTTATTATGAGCTGAGGGGCTTCTTTTATTCATTCATTTGTTAAATCGGTCCCTTCAACATCGCATACAACGACTAGGTCAATTTGCAAGAATCATCCTTTAATAGTTGATATTATCATGAAAAAAAAATAGATACATAATGCATTTAACGTATTTGATTATGTTTGCGTCTGTTGTTTGACATAGCAAGGAAAAGAGAAACAAAATGTAGTTTGTTGATCATAACTTACCTCTGTGTTATCATCAAAGTTTTTCTTAAAAAAAAAAAAAACAAATACTTGTTAGAATTTTGGGAAATATCTCTTTTTTTTTTTTTTTTTTTTTTTTTTTTTTTTTTTAAAGTTATATGTTACAACACATGCAGGCAGTTGAGATCGGAAAGCAGCTTGCCAAGAAGCACTTCATCCACCACGTCTTTGGGTAATAAAGCATTTCGTGCAAGAGATACTAAAGATTATCAGTACAAATTTTTCTCTGCGTATAAATGTTTCCCTTTTACATGTTTATGCAGAGAGAATGACTTTGAAGACGGAAACCATTTCTATCATTTTCTCGAACACGAACCATTTATCCCCAAATGCTATAACTTCCGAGGATCCACAAACGATGGTCAGCCAAAGTCTGCAGCCAAAGTTGGTGAAAAGCTCACCAAGATCATGTCTGCCATACTTGAGGCCTATGCCTCTGATGACAGATGCCATGTTGATTATATTGGCATCAGCAACAGCGAGGAATTTCGAAGGTAAGTTTAGATTTCTTCTTCGTTTTCCTTGTTCCTTGCTCAGCATATCTTTTCAATATTCATTGTAGAACAATATAGTTTATGCATTATCAGTTTCTAATTTTAAAGGTGTACTAAGTATTATTCTTGTTCTTAAACTTTGGTCTTTATTCTTCTGGCCTTACAAGCTCTGGTAGAGAAAAAAATTCTAAAATATTTGCATATAATAATGCCTATCCTAGCAATTTTTTAACTGGCCAAATAGCTGAGTATGGTGACAGATCATGTGACTATCATTTCATGCATATTCTTTTTTTTTTTTCAAGTCAAATTGACTTCTCTTTTAAGTTATACTCCTTTCTCTCTGCTGATTTCAGGTATGTAAATTTGACTCGAGAACTTCATCGGATAAACCTCGTTGAACTCTCACCAGATCAGAGGCTAGCCTTCTTCTTGAACTTGTACAATGCCATGGTCATCCATGCAGTCATCAGGTTAGGGCATCCAGAAGGTGTAATGGATAGGAGATTCTTCTCTGACTTCCAATATTTAGTCGGAGGGCATCCCTATTCCCTTAGTACCATAAAGAATGGCATTCTGAGAAACAATCGCAGGCCTCCTTATTTCTTGGTCAAACCATTTGGCTCTGGAGACAAGCGTTTAGAGGTAAAAATGACTTTTGTAAGCATCATCATTAGCTTGATAAGCAAAAAGGCATCATTATAAGCTTAAAATAAGTCTAACTTGTAGAGTTCTAGTCTAAATCCTACCAACTTAAAGTAAGTTTAATCAGTTCAGAGGAATTTTCTTTGTCTATATATATATATGTATATATATGTATGTATATATGGCTTGCCTGCAACTTAATTTTGAGTAGAAAATAGGACAGCTATTTCCCCCTTTTTGTGCTTCATTTAGTGTTTGTTTAAACCTCAACTTAGAATGAATGGGACTTGATAGAAGGAATTACAATTTAAAGCTTCTGTTCCATGCATTCTTGGTTTGAAATGGGCAGAAATTCTAACAGTTATTTTAAAAAATTTCAGCTTGCTCTTTCTAAAGTGAATCCATTAATCCATTTCGGTCTATGCAATGGGACAAGATCAAGCCCAACGGTGAGGTTCTTTTCATCCCAAGGAGTTGAAACTGAACTAAGAAGTGCTGCAAGAGAGTTCTTTCAGAGTGTTGGAATGGATGTTGATTTGGAAAAGAGAACGGTGCATCTCACCCGAATCATCAAGTGGTGAGCAAACCAAGCCCTTAAAACTTTTCACTTTCATCTTGACAATTAACTACATAATGGTTAATGAAGCTGAAGAATATTTGTGTGAACTTTACATAATGGAAAGAAGTATACTTCTTAAACTTACTTTCATATTTCCTGCAGGTTCGACTCTGATTTTGGACAGGAGAAAGAAATCCTAAAATGGATCATGAATTACTTGGATGCAACTAAAGCGGGTCTTTTGACACATCTTTTGAGCGACGGAGGCCCAATTAGTATTTCATACAAGAGTTATGATTGGTCTATGAACTCTTGAAAGATATTAGATATGGACCCACTTGGAGTCACGTTTTTGGGTCATTGAATGAAAATCTCCTAGTGATACACCTGCTTTGGCATGGGAAATATTTGTATATAATACTTTAAATTTTGAAACATTTGTTACAAGTCATCGTCGATAGAGGCTTGAAATGGAAATAGAATTAGAGGGGTTTGTTAATTTATTGATTTGGAATAGGTAATGTGTGAAGAACGAATTGCAACCTATTACAGGTCATCTTAGGGATGAAAGAAAATGTCATTGGGATGGGTGTGATTCGCTTTAATTTGGTGATGAATGATAATGCCATTGAGAGAGAGATCATGTCATTTCCCTTTTGAATGCTGCGTGAGAGTATCAGTATAGTGTTTGTTCAAAATGAAATGAAATCAGTCGCAAATATTGCGCCTTGCATATTATAAGAGTAATTGCCAATCATCTGAGTTTTGTAAAATAATTTTCATTAAGAAGTCCTCAAAGACATTGTTATTTCTCATAAAGGATGTAATCCGGGAAATTATTCCATAATCCATGGTGTAGCACACATCGTTCCACATCCATCAAATGCACGAACTGTTGCCTGCCCATATCCATGTCCTCTGCAGGCGACAAGGGCATAAAACGCCTTCTTTTTTAGTACGTACCGTACTCAAATTCGCATTACTGTGTATTTTCTAATCCGGAGAAAGCTCACAAGAACGACAACGAACGCGAACCGTTTCAGTATTACTGTGTATTTTCTAATTCTGCTATTTTGATGGGTGGAAATCATCATCATGGAATGGAAGAGTAGGTCGGAGGCCAAATCTTGGAGCTGGCTGAGATTGAATATTTAATCCAAGCTGATAATCGCATAAGTTGACATAGTTTTCCAGGTAATTTTCTCCTATGTTTTCTTGCTTATTTCTCTGAGTATTTTGTGTTTTTAGGTGTTTTGGAAGCTAAATGAAGCTTTGGAGCTTAAAAAGGGCAATTTGGAGAAGTTATGGACGCGCGGCTAGAGAAAACGAGCGTCACTGTTAAAGTATTAAAGTTTAGTTTATTTTACCGATTGGAGTTTAGAATTTGAGTTTTATTACAGTAAAACATTTTTAAAAATAGTCACATTTAATTTTTTTATTACAGTTATAAACTCACGTAAAATTATATCTCAACTCGAATTAAAAACTCAAATCAATAAACTAAATATGCTCTAAACTATTGAGCGGAATGTCTGAGTTTAAATTCTTATAATTACACTTTTTATCTCAATTTAAATTATCATTATGTATTAAGTTTTTAATATATTTCAATTTTAAATAATTATTGTTGGCCCATTTCTTAACAGTTTAAATTTTTAAGATGAATTAGTAAGTAAACGTTTAGTTTACGAATTTAAAATTATTCTCAATTTATGTATATTTTTTATGAAAAAAAATACTATAACGAGTCACAAATTATAATTTAAATTATAACACAAATTCTTGTATTAAAAACACTCTATAAATTAACAGTCGCGGCGCTCTGATGTGCGAAAACTACCACGAACCTAAGCTCCAGCTTTTGGGTGCTGCTGCGCCCACCAGAAAAAAAAGCCAGCGCCGCAGAGCCAAAGACTATCGCAAAATCTTAAAAAACTCCATCCGTGGAACCAAAAAAAAAAAAAAGAAAAAAAAAAGACAAACTTCATCCGCTTCTGAACTCAATCTGAACTCAATTTGAAGTTTTGTTACATCAAACTTCTTTCGTTTGAAACACAAGAGAGTTCGAGAACTTTCCTGCCTTTGAACGAACTCAAGTAAAAGAAGAGTTCGAAAATGGGAGTTTAGGTTCTTGACAAAAGTGTGCTGTCGTCGGGAGTTTAGGTTCTCTATCACCGTCATGTGGGTGTGGATTTACTATTGTGCATCTAGTTCCTTTCTTCTTCCTCCAAATTTTCTTTCCTTTTCATGGAGAGGTTCTCAGCAACCAAACAATCCAAAAGCCAAACCCAGACCTTTTCTCTGAAAAAGAACCAATGCGAAACCCAAACAACCAATTTGATGAGTACTGACTTTCAATTAGGTCAATATCTATTTGTTAAATTAATGCTCAGATGAGCAAGAATTATATTATAAATTGTTCTGATTGATTTTGTTGTTTATAAGTAGTTTTGTGGATTTGTTTTTTAATGCGCTCAACGTAATCGTCAACTCAAATATTCGTAGAGTTTTTTTATTAATATATAATAAATGTAGTAAGGATTATATTATGCTTTTAAAGTCCGTTTATTTTACCGATTAGAGTTTAAAATTTGAGTTTTATTACAGTAAAAATATCTCAGAAACAGTCATATCTAATTTTTTGTTACGGTAAAAAGTTCTCACATAAAATTACATCTCAACTCGAATTAAAAACTCGAATCAACGAACTAAACAGTCTGTTTAATTCGTTGATTCGAGTTTAGATGTGACTATATGTGAGAATTTTTTACTATAATAAAAAAATTAAATATAATTATTTTTGATAATTTTTTATTAAAATAAAATTCAAATTTTAAATTTAAATCGATAAAATAAATAAGACTTTAAATTAAATACGAACTCTTCAATCATATTCATACCCATTGGGAAGGTAAAATTATTGTCCCCTGTCAGAGTCTCTTTTTAATATTATAAAATACAGTGCCAGAGTAATTTGTTTTTAAAAAAAAAATACAAGGTAGTAAAGTGATTTCTTTTTTTCCTTGATTCGACTGTCATTTACGAGAGTGATGTGGTTCAAAATGAGACTCATGCTTGTAATTTGGAGGTTATGTTTGGAAATAAACCTTAAAACTTTTCCTTTTTTCATTTCTTTCTTTTTCTTTTTAATTTTAATTTTTTCAGTCACGTTCAATATCTATTTCCCTTCCCTCCTATTTTCCCGCCAAAAACAAAGCCGCAGAGAGAGAGAGAGAGGAGAAAAAAAAAAAAAGAGCAGCCCAAAGCCCCGGACCCTAGAAATCCATCCTCGATCTTGGAGAAAAAGAGCAGTCAAATTGATTTTCGAAGAAGAAAATGGCGAAGGAGAAGGCGGCTCCGACGGGTTGCTACAAATGCGGCCGACCGGGCCACTGGTCCCGCGACTGTCCGTCCTCCGCTCCGATCCCCAATTCCAATCCCAACCTTAATACTTCCTTCAGATCTACTCCTTCGTCTTCTTCTTTCAAGAGTGGTCCCGGAACCGCCGAGAAATCCTCGGCGAAGCCGCCAAAAAAGGTCCTGCCTCCGAGGGTGAGGCCCAAGCTCACCCCTCAGCTGCTTCTCTCCGACGATGGCCTCGGTTATGTCCTCCGCCACTTCCCTCGCGCCTTCAAGTACCGCGGTCGCGGCCACGAGGTTCGTCTCTCTAATCTCTTGTTCTTGATCGTTCAACTTTTCCCTTTCTTTGATTCTCTCTCCCATTTCTCTATCCGTACATCTTATTTGTTTGCTATTTCTGTAAAATAATCAAATTACAAATCTTTAAAAGCGTTTTTTTTGTGTGTTTTTTTTTAATAATTTGATTCTTTTTTCCCCCTATAGTTTTAGGTATCAATCGTATTGTTAACTTGGGGTTTATGCTCATCTGACATAAATATAGGAACTCAATAATTCAAGCAATTTTTCTTTTTTATTTGTAAATCAATGTGGATTTTGGGTTCATTGATTAGTCATTATAAGAGGTACACGCCACCAAGTAAACTGTTTATGGGCACTTTTATTTGGTATATTGCCGATTAAGATGCATCTTTAAAACATATATTGTCATATCTTTTATATTGCCAATTTCCATACGTGTTGGAGAAAATTGAAGATTACCTAGAAAATCTCTTTCTTTCGATTGTTTTTCGCTCTTATTTCTTTTGAAGGCGAAATCAGTGATTTATTTGATAAGAAAGTAGTTGAACTCGTTGAACTTTCACGATCTCGTGCCCCTTATCAGTCTTGAGCCCTGCAGTTAATCGGCTTTTCATTCCATAATCAAGGATAGTAGCATAGTTTATTCCTCCAAATTGAGATATGTTCTGTGAAAGAAACGGGAAAGAACAATATCCGACAGTTATTAATTTTAGTTGCTCTTCTGTTTGCTAATTCCCTTGCAGGTTAGCGATCTAGGGAACCTGATTCGCATGTATGGCGAATGGCATTCTCGTTTGCTCCCTTATTATTCATTTGATCAGTTTGTACATAAGGTGGAACAAGTTGCTGCTACAAAACGCGTAAAGGTAAGGCAGCCTTAAATCTTTCCTTCCTGGTTTATAAGATGCTATTTGGCAGAACGATTGTTGTAATATTCTTTTGTATATTTTTATGTATTGGTATTAGATTGTAGATACTTTACTAATTTCTGATTCTCACTTTTATATTTCTTAAGGACAATGGAAAGGCTAAAATGATATTGCATCGTAAACTCAGAAGTTTAATATCTGTTTCAATTTCATCAATCTTTTGAAAACATCTTTTATAAATTATTGCACAACTCAACAAATCATTATACTAAAAGTCGGCATTCTGGCCTTTTGCTTTCAAATTGGTTAGTTTTCCATAGGCTTTGCAAGTTGAGAAACCAAAACAAGAAATTTAAAAGGCCTAGGAGATGTGTCCCGCAAGTTAAGTTATTGAAATCGCTGTGGTATCTTTTCTCAGACATTATGAACTTTTTCTATAAAACTATCTCTATCAAGTTCGCTATTTCAAATGTTTCACTTATAACGTCCTAGCGGCAATAGCATGATTGCAACTCTTTTGTCTTTTCAGCAACATTTTAATCGAACACACTCACATAGGCACACATTTCCATATACTTTTTTTAGCAGTTTAGTATATATATATATATATATTATATAATATATATATATATATTGTTATAAATAAAATTGGTTGCAGAATTTACTTCAAGGTGCCCTCTGCAAATCCAGCGAGACTTTCCAGATATTGGTTTTGGCATCATTTGCTATCTTGCAATGTGATGCTTTTTTTCTTTATACGTGCATTGATGCACCCTAACATAATACACCTCTCACATGTTTTGAGCATTGTTGAGTAGACATGTCTTAGAGAATTGAGAGAAAGAGTTGCCAGCGGAGGGGATCCAACAAAATTGCATGAACCACCAGTTGAAGATGAAAATCCTCATGATGGACAAGGTTTGTTGGATATTTTGCTAATGTTGTTATTATGGAAGTGTTTGGTTGTAGTGAATGGCATGCATCTGTTATATCTTCTTTATCCAATTCTATGATATGGACACTGTTGGCTGCTGTAATCTAATAAATGCTTTCTGAACAATATCTTGTCAACTGGTTTTTCACGGACGCACAGGCATTTGACATTAGCTAAATCCTGCAAGGCTTATTGGTGACTCTCCTTCACAGCTGATCATCAGCTTGGTATATGTTATCTTAGTAGGTCATGATATTTTCATTCTATCTTTAAGCATTAGAGCTAAGTGAGCATGGGCTAAACTTGTTTATGATGCTTTGCACTTCATGGATGTCAAAGACATCATCTACTATTAGATGGTCACCTGTAACGGGCGTTGCTTCCACCATGCTCCTTGTGTGGCGTATTTTCATGCAAAAGAGAAGCGGAATACTACTGTTTTGCAATTTGCATTCTAGTTCGTTGCCTTTCAGAATCATTGATGGCTTTGGCGAGTGCCAATTTAACATTCTTAAACCTTGTCTGAGCTTAAAAGAAAGATCATTTCGGGAAAATATATAGAAACAATAAAGGGCCTGAACGCAGTTCAAATAAATCTGCCTTGCTTTATTAATCGAAAAAAAGTTCACTTAAATAGACTAGGGCTTGAATACTGAGTCCATTATCTTCTCTAAGATAATCTATCCTATTTGAATTCAAATACTAATTGATAATTCCTAATCTAAATAACCGGAAATAATAAACTAAATAATAAAGATAACTATTGACTTATTCAACCTATCTCTAAAAGATCTTATCTGCTAACACTCCCCTTCAAGCTTGGCCGTAGATATCAATAAGCCTAAGCTTGCCTACAAAATACTCGAACGTTGGTCTAGAAAGTCCTTTGGTGAGTATATCCGCAACTTGTTGTCCTGTAGGAATGTACTCAATGCTGATGATTCCCTTCTCTAGCTTTTCAGTAATAAAGTGTCTATCCACCTCCACATGTTTGGTTCTATCATGATGAACTGGGTTATGTGCTATGCTGATAGTAGCCTTGTTATCACAGTAGAGCTGCATAGGAAACTCACAACTGATCTTCAACTCTTCTAGCAACCGTTTCAACCAAATTGCTTCGCAGATGCCATGAACCATGGCTCTGTATTCAGCTTCAGCGCTGCTTCTTGCTACTACGGACTGTTTTTTACTGCGCCAAGTCACCAAGTTCCCCCAAAGGCGTGTGCAATATCTGGATGTTGATTTCCTATCTTTGACAGATCCAGCCCAATCGGCATCAGTGAAGATTTCCACTCTCCTGTTTTCTTCTTTTCCAAAAAATAATCCTCTTCCCGGTGTCTTTTTGAGATATCTCAATATCCGATAAATAGATTCGAAGTGTCATTGGCGCGGTGAATGCATTTGTTGGCTTACCACACTAACTGCAAAGGCGATGTCCGATCTTGTATGTGAGAGGTATATCAGTTTTCCCACTAGCCGTTGATATCTTTCTCTATCAGCCATCTCTCCACCAATTGCTTTTGCCTTGCCTCCTTGTTCAATTGGAGTTTCTATTGGTTTGCTATTATAACCCTTGGGTAGAATTCATCCCCAAAAGCTAGCTTGTAGGGAGAGGGTGTCCAAGTGGTTATAAACCCACATGCTCAGCCCATACTTTAGCAATGTGGGACTCAACCAGGATCCTAACAGACCACTACGCTTCCGACACCGACGTCCACGGCGGCCCACTCTGGGTGGCCCACTTTGGCCTTTCTAGGTCGCCCCTTCCGCAACGTGGGCCTGAGGAGGAGCATGCTCTGATACTAATTGTTATAACCCTTGAGTAGAACTCATCCCCAAAAGCTAGCTTGTAGGGAAAGGGTGCCTAAGTGGTGATAAATCCACGTACCAATAGGTCTAGTGTATACTTCCTTTGTGATATGGAGATCCCAGTTTTGCTTCTTGCAACTTCCATTCCCAAGAAATATCTCAGCGTACCGAGATCTTTAACTTCAAACTCCTCAGCCATCAACCTTTTAATTCTCGTCATTTCTTCAAAGTTGTCCCTAGTAAGTATTATATCATCTACATATACTATTAGGACTGTGATCTTTCCATCTGATGAGTGCTTAACAAACAACGTGTGATCGGTTTGTCCTTGTGAGTATCCATGGCTTTTAATCACCTTTGAAAATCTATCAAACCATGCGCGCAGAGACTGTTTCAGTCCATATAGCGATTTCTTCAGCTTGCACACCATCTTGTTTCTCTTACTCTCTTCAAACCCGGGTGGTAGGCTCATATACACTTCTTCCTCCAATTCACCATTTAAAAAGGCATTCTTCACGTCAAGTTGAACCAGAGGCCAATCCAGATTTGCCGCTAATGATAGGAGGACTCTTATTGTGTTGAACTTTGCAATTGGGGCAAATGTCTCAGTGTAATCGATTCCATAAGTTTGTGTAAAACCTTTTGCAACGAGCTGTGATTTGTACCTTTCTATCGATTCCATAAGTTAATTCATTACATCAGTTAATTCCTGGAATCATGGGATGGATCAGTCGCTAGTTTCTAACATATTCTTTACTAGATAAACCATTTTTCTCTTTGAAAAATTATTAGTATACTTAATCTGTACAATATTAGATGGGAACAAACATGGTCTTGACTGTAACCATGTTGAATGCTGACTGATTCTTTTGGTTTTTGTAGAGGCTATAAGTTCCGAGGAAGTACGCCATCACAAGGAAGATTCATCTTCGAAGAACCATAACATTGATGATATTCAGGAAGACATGCTCCAGGATGTTTATGAAAATGCTATTGAAGTATGTTACATTCTTCTTTCAAGCTATTCTTCGTTTTATAGTTAGTTCAGTTGCCTATCATTTTGTCAGAATGTACTTGTGTCTGTTAGTTTTATTGAAGAGAACTGCTGCCATTTGTCATTGTTTAGGATCAAATGTTTAGTTGGGTCCTGATAAATGTTGTTAAATACGTTACTATAAGGTAGGTTCTTAACATGTTCAACATACAAATGTCTCGAGAATTGGAATAGAAAAGCAGTAAAATTTCTACTTATGTGAATTTGAAAAGGAAGAAGTTCGACTTAGTCAAAAGCAGGTATTCTAGGATTGGTGCCTTGATGAGGAGTGACTACTTTTTTATTGTATGATGTAATCCTGGAAGAGGAAATTCTCCATGCGTTCAAGATGCCTTTGAACAGCAGTACCTACTATGAATATACAAAATAATTAAAGGCCAGCTACTGAAAGTGATGTTGAATAATAATATCATTATTTTGTTTCTTACTATTTAATTGCAGCAACCTTCGGCGAATTTGCAAAATGGTATAACACCGGCAAAAGAATTACCTAATCAAGTTCCAAATGACAAAGTTAGTCAGTCTATTGAGAATGATATCACAGAAGAACAAAGAGCCCGAATGGAAGCTAACAGATTGAAGGCACTAGAGAAAGCTGCAGCTAGGGCCCGCTCATTACAGGTTACTTGACTGTTCACTACATTTGAGCATTTTGGTCTTCTATCATTTTGGAATATGCTTATTGTATTCTATGACTGTCAGCAACAGAATTTCCATTTCTATATGACAGCTGCAAGAGTTGCTGATAATGTATGTGCGTGTTTGTTTATGTTCTTAAAAAAAAAAAAAAAACAAAAAAAACAAAAAGACACAATTTTGGCATTAGGGATATGATTTTGGAAACTCTTTAAAAAGTTCAAAATTTTCCGCATTCCTATGATTAGACAAATTAATTAATTCAAATATTTAATTTCATTCTAAGTAAGAACATGTATGATTGTAATGTTTGGAATTATTTTTTAGTTGTTTTCGAAAACGTTTCTGCATGTTTTTTGAGGCACGAAAATGAAAACGGTCTACAAATTGCGTTTGTTTAATAAAAATTTTGAAAGTAAAAACACAAACAAAAAAAATGAGAATAGTGTTTGTGAAGAAAGTAGAAAACGATTGAAAATTATATTTTCTTTTCTATTTTCATTTTTTAATATTTATCAACAATATTATATTAATAATTAATAATTAATTACTAATTATATTATATATCAATTAATAATTAATAAATAGATATACTTAATAACTAATAAATAGATAAT